AAATCTTTCCCAGTGGTGGTACGTCTTTAATCCCAGCAACTTGGGAAGCTGAGGCAAGAGGGTCTCGAGTTCAGGAACTGTATGGACAACATACAAGAAAAAAAGGTTCATGAATCTACTCACCCACCTCCACGATACAGTGACTTTGTGACTTTGTGTGCTCAGTGCCTCTGACTACCATGAGCAGGAGAAGAGTTTGGGAGTTAAAGGATCTGGGTTGAAGGTCCAGTTCAATTATGTGTTAGCTGACAGACACTGAGCAAGTCATTTAACTCCCTGGTGCCTCAGTCTCAACTGTAAAGCAGAGCTGCTGATAATAAGTTTTTTGAAGGATTACAGACCCCAAGGCAGTATGAAAATACGGTGTAACCTAAATAGCCTAAACAGTAAGATGCTGTTGCCTTTACTTTAAAGTAGTGAGTTAAGCTTCGCGTGGTGGTGCTCACCTGCCATCTTAGCACTTGGGAGTCTGGTCAAGGCCAGACTGGGCCACATCATGAGGCATAGGTTAGCCTCAGCTGTGTAGGAAGATTCTGTCTTGAATACGAACATATATATATGCATACATACACATGCCAGCAGTAGGAACCATTTGGTGACTTCCTTATCCCACTTTGCCTCTGTAGCTAGTCTTTACCTCATAAGGCAAATTCGAAAAGGACAAATTGGTCCTCAGATAACAGCTCTTGATCTAGTGCTCATCAAAACCTCCTGGAGCCAGGCATGGTGACATACACCACCTGTCCCAGCACAAGGAAGCAGAGGTAGGCAGATCTTTGTGAGATTGAGGCCAGCCTGGTCTACATATTGAGTTCCAGGTCAGCTGGGGCTACAGGGAGACCGTCTCAAAAACAAAACAAAAAAGCCTACCTGGAAAGCCTATTCAATAAAGAGCTGCCTGTGCCTCTGACCTACTTAAGCCAAATATCTAGAGATGGATTAAGGACAGCGGACTGGACTATACAGGGGACAGAAGTAGGCATCTTTACCAACCTCAAAAATGGAAGGCTGGCTATTAGCTCCTCTATAAAGCTCATCTTAATAGAATATTACATAAACCTATAATGTCCTCTCTTTCATCTTTT